AAAACATTAGGCGTGGCCAAAACAACTGTTTGGAACATTCTTAAAAAGAAGGAACGCACCGGTGAGCTCAGCAACACCAAAAGACCTGGAAGACCACGGAAAACAACTGTGGTGGATGACCGAAGAATTCTTTCCCTGGTGAAGAAAACACCCTTCACAACAGTTGGCCAGATCAAGAACACTCTCCAGGAGGTAGGTGTATGTGTGTCAAAAGTCACCAATCAAGAGAAGACTTCACCAGAGTGAATACAGAGGGTTCACCACAAGATGGAAACCATTGGTGAGCCTCAAAAACAGGAAGGCCAGATTAGAGTTTGCCAAACAACATGTAAAAAAGCCTTCACAGTTCTGGAACAACATCCTATGGACAGATGAGACCAAGATCAACTTGTACCAGAGTGATGGGAAGAGAAGAGTATGGAGAAGGAAAGATTCGCGGCGAAACCGAAATTTTGCCTACTTCGGGTGCGCGAATCGAACATTTCCGATCAGCCGGCAAAAGTGTCCCTGCAGTGAGCTCCGCTATTTCTGACAGTTCTCTGACAGAAGGAACACATGTTTAGCGGTTGAAACATTGTATCTATTAGTTTACATTTAGGATACAGATGTTTTTCAACCGCTGTACATGTGAAGAAGCTGTGAGAGAACTGTCAGAAATAGAGGAACTCTGCACATACACTTTTTGCCGGCTTGGAATTATTCTTCTATTTCATCCTGAAGAAGAAGAAGAAGTAAGTAGTGAAAATAAGAATAATTCCAAGCCGGCAAAAAAGTGTATGTGCAGAGTTCCTCTATTCTGCTAGATTCACTAAAGGAGCTCTGCAGATACACTTAGAGGAGCTCTGCACATACACTTTTTGCCGGCTTGGAATTAATTCTTATTTTCATCCTACTTCTTCTTCTCTTCTTCTTCTTTCATCCTCATCATCCTCAGAAGAAGAAGAAGAGGATGAGGATGAGGTTGAAGAAGAAGAAGAAGAAGAGTAGGATGAAAATAAGAATACATTCCAAGCCGGCAAAAAGTGTATGTGCAGAGCTCCTCTAAGTGTATTTCACTCCATACAGCTGTTTCAACCGCTGTATGGAGGGAATGTCATAGAACTGTCAGAAATAGACTATTAATGACAGTTCTGGGACTGTCCTTCCATACAGCGGTTGAAACATTGTATCTATTTGTTTCCATAAATGGATCCATTTATGGAAACAAATACATACAATGTTTCAACCGCTGCATGGAAGGACAGTCCCAGAACTGTCATTAATAGTCTATTTCTGACAGTTCCATGACATTCCCTCCATACAGCGGTTGAAACAGCTGTATGTCCATTCTTCTCATCCTCCATTCTTCTCATCCTTCTCCTTCTTTCTCATCCTTCTCCTTCTTCTCATCCTTCTCCTTCTTCTCATCCTTCTCCTTCTCATTTCTTCTCTATCCTTCTCCTTCTTCTCATCCTTCTTCTCATCCCTTCTCCTTCTTCTCATCCTTCTCCTTCTCCTTCTCATCCTTCTCCTTCTCCTTCTTCTCATCCTTCTCCTTCTTCTCATCTTCTCCTTCTCTTCTTCTCCTTCTCTTCTTCTCCTTCTTCTCATCCTTCTCCTTCTTCTCATCCTTCTCTTTCTCCTTCTCATCCTTCTCCTTCTCCTTCTCATCCTTCTCCTTCTTCTCCCTTCTCATCCTTCTTCTTCCTTCTTCTTCATCCTTCTCCTTCTCCTCTCTCTCCTTCTCCTTCTCTTCTCCTTCTTCTCATCCTTCTCCTTCTCTCTCTCATCCTTCTCCTTCTCCATCTTCTCATCTCTCTTTTTTCTTCTTCCTTTCTCCATCCTTCTCCTCTTCTCATCCTCCTCTCTTCTTCTCCTTCTTCTCATCCTTCTCCCTTCTTCTCATCCTTCTCCTTCTCTTCATCCTTCTCCTTCTCCTCATCCTTCTCCTTCTTCTCATCCTTCTCCTTCTTCTCATCCTTCTCCTTCTTCTCATCCTTCTCCTTCTCCTTCTTCTCATCCTTCTCCTTCTCCATCTTCTCATCCTTCTCCTTCTCCTTCTTCTCATCTTCTCCTTCTTTCTTCTCTCATCCTTCTTCTCCTTCATCTTTCTCCTTCTCCTTCTCTCATCCTTCTCTTTCTTCTCATCCTTCTCCTCTTTCTCCTTCTCTTCTTCTCTTCTTCTCCTTCTTTTCTCATCCTTCTCCTTCTCCTTCTTCTCATCCTTCTCCTTCTCCTCATCCTTCTCCTTCTTCTCATCCTTCTTCTCTTCTTCTCATCCTCTTCTTCTTCTCCTTCTTCCTTCCTTCTCCTTCTTCTCATCCTTCTCCTTCTTTCATCCTTCTCCTTCTCCTTTTCTCATCCTTCTCCTTTTCTTCTCATCCTTCTCCTTCTTCTTCTCTCATCCTTCTCCTTCTTCTTCTCATCCTTCTCCTTCTTCTTCTCATCCTCTCCTCTTCTCATCCTTCTTCTCATCCTTCTCCTTCTTCTCATCCTTCTCCTTCTCCTTCTTCTCATCCTTTCTCCTTTTCCTTCTTCTCATCCTTCTCCTTCTCCTTCTTTCTCATCCTTCTCCTTCTCCATCTTCTCATCCTTCTCCTTCTTCTCATCCTTTCCTTCTCTTCATCCTTTCTCCTTCTTCTCATCCTTCTCCTTCTTCTCATCCTTCTCCTTCTTCTCATCTTCTTCTCATCCTTTCTCCTTCTTCTCATCCTTCTCATCCTTCTCCTTCTTCTTCTCATTCTCCTTCTCCTTCTTCTCATCCTTCTCCTTCTTCTCATCCTTCTCCTTCTTCTCATCCTTTCCTTCTCCTTCTTCTCATCCTTCTCCTTCTTCTCATCCTTCTCCTTCTTCTCTCATCCTTCTTCTCATCCTTCTCTCTTCTTCTTCATCCTTCTCCTTCTCCTTCTTCTCATCCTTTTTCTCTTCTTCTTCTCATCCTTCTCCTTCTTCTCATCCTTCTCTTCTTCTCATCCTTCTCCTTCTTCTCATCCTTCTTCTCATCCTTCTCATTCTTCTTCTTCTCATCCTTCTCCTTCTTCTCATCCTTCTTCTCATCCTTCTCCTTCTTCTTCTTCTCATCCTTCTCCTTCTCCTTATCCTTCTCCTTCTTCTCATCCTTCTCCTTCTCCTTCTTCTCATCCTTCTCCTTCTCATCCTTCTCTCTTCTTCTCATCCTTCTCCTTCTTTCATCCTTCTCCTTTCTCCTTCTTCTCATCTTCTCCTTCTTCTCATCCTTCTTTCTCATCCTTCTCCCTTCTTCTTCTTCTCATCCTTCTCCTTCTCCTTATCCTTCTCCTTCTTCTCATCCTTCTCCTTCTCCTTCTTCTCATCCTTCTCCTTCTCATCCTTCTCTTTCTTCTCATCCTTCTCCTTCTTCTCATCCTTCTCCTTCTCTTCTTCTCATCCTTCTCCTTCTTCTCATCTTCTCTCTTCTTCTCATCACCTTCTCCTTCTTCTCATCCTTCTCCTTCTTCTCATCCTTCTCCTTCTTCTCATCCTTCTCCTTCTCCTTCTTCTCATCCTCATCCTTCCTTCTCCTTCTTCTTCTTCTCATCCTTCTTCTCCTTCTCTCATCCCTCTCCTTCCTTCTCCTTTCTCTTTCCTCATCTCCAAGGGCATTTAAATTAAAGGTACAGTGTTCTGCACTAATTTAAAGGCTCTCTGAAGCCTAGAAACCCTTTTTATAAGTCATCTTCGTAGCGAAGAAAAATTCGCATCGAATCGAATTTCACACTGGAATTCGCCGAATCAGCCGAATCGAATTTTTGAGAAATTCGCTCATCTCTAATCCTAAGCATACCACCTCATCAGTGAAGCATGGTGGTGGTAGTGTCATGGCGTGGGCATGTATGGCTGCCAATGGAACTGGTTCTCTTGAATTATTGATGATGTGACTGCTGACAAAAGCAGCAGGATGAATTGTGAAGTGTTTCGGGAATATTATCTGCTCATATTCAGCCAAATGCTTCACAACTCATTGGACGCTTCACAGTGCAGATGGACAATGACCCAAAGCAGACTGCAAAAGCAACCAAAGAGTTTTTTAAGGGAAAGAAGTGGAATGTTATGCAATGGCCAAGTCAATCACCTGACCTGAATCCGATTGAGCATTTCACTTGCTGAAGACAAAACTGAAGGGAAAATGCCCCAAGAACAAGCAGGAACTGAAGACAGTTGCAGTAGAGGCCTGGCAGAGCATCACCGGGGATGAAACCCAGCGTCTGGTGATGTCTATGCGTTCCAGACTTCAGGCTGTAATTGACTGCAAAGGATTTGCAACCAAGTATTAAAAAGTGAAAGTTTGATTTATGATTATTATTCTGTCCCATTACTTTTGGTCCCTTAACAAGTGGGAGGCACATATGCAAACTGTTGTAATTCCTACACCGTTCACCTGATTTGGATGTAAATACCCTCAAATTAAAGCTGACAGTCTGCAGTTAAAGCACATTTTATTTGTTTCATTTCAAACCCATTGTGGTGGTTTGTAGAGCCAAAAATGTTAGAATTGTGTCGATGTCCCAATATTTATGGTCCTGACTGTATACCACCTTATTTACCAGGCCAATTTTCAGCTTTCAGCGCTGTCGCACTTTGATTGACAATTGCGCGGTCATGCAACATTGTACCCATATGAAATTTTGATCATTTTTTTCTCACAAATAGAGCTTTCTTTTGGTGGTATTTAATCGCCACTGGGCGCTTTACTTTTTGCGCTATAAATAAAAAAAGTGCAAAAAATTTGAAAAAAAAAAAAAGTTTCTTTGTTTCTATTATAAAATTTTTCAAACAGGTATTTTTTCTCCTTCACTGATGTGTGTTGATGAGGCAGCACTGATGGGCACTGATAGGCAGCACTAAAGGGCACTGATAGGCAGTACTAATGAGGTGGCACGGATAGGCGGCACTGATAGGCAGCACTAAAGGGCACTGATAGGCAGTACTAATGAGGTGTCACGGATAAGCGGCACTAATATGCAGCACTGATAGGCGGCACTGATAGGTGACACTGATGATGGTTACTGATAGACGGCACTGACTGGCATCACTGCTGGGCACTGACTGGTGGTACTGACTGGCACAACCCCTGGGCACTGACTGGCGGCACTGACTGGCAGCACTGCTGGGCTGCACTGGTGGGTGGCACTGGTGGGCAGCACTGGTGGGTGGCACTGGTGGGCACAGGTGGGTGAGCACAGGTGGGTGGCACTGGTGGGCACAGGTGGGTGAGCACAGGTGGGTGGCACTGCTGGGCAGCACTGGTGGGTGGCACTGCTGGGCACAGGTGGGTGGGCACAGGTGGGTGGCACTGCTGGGCACAGGTGGGTGGCACTGCTGGGCACAGGTGGGTGCACTGCTGGGCACAGGTGGGTGATCTGCTGGTCACAGGTGGGCGGAGCTAGTGGGCGCACTGCTGGGCACAGGTGGGCGGAACTTGCGGGTGGCACTGCTGGGCACCGATCATCAGGGCACTGATCATCAGTGCCCTGATGATCGGTGCCGATCCCCGCTCTGACAACTGCCGGTTCTCGGCAGTACTTTCCTCATGATCTGACAGCGTGAGGAAAGTGCAGCCGAGAACCAGCACTTGCATTTCCCTCTGATCAGCGTGTCATTGGACACCGCTGATCACGTGGTAAAAGGCCGCTGTGATTGGCCTTTTACCACATCACGTGATCAGCTGTGTCCGTAGGACACAGCGATCACGGAGATTGCCGGGTGCGCGCCCCCTGGGGCGCGCAGGAGAGCGCGCGTTCTGGGAGGACGTCATATGACGTCCACTCAGAACTGGCCGGCCGCAGTGCAGCCGTCATTCGGCTATCTGCGGTCGGCAGCTAGTTATAGACGCTACTAAACATCTTCAACATTTCAGAACAAGTCCAGCTGAATGTGAGCAACTACTACTAGCTATACCATGACCGGGATCCATGAGAACCTTCCCAGACACTGCCCCGTCAGTCCTTCACCTGACTCGATGTAGAGGGGACCCTGACCTGTTCTGTTCAATCACAGACGTCCCGTTCCCAATAATTGGGAACCGCGCTCATCCTGCCATTTTGCAGAATACAAAGTCGTCGGCCAATGAGAGAGCTGCTAATAAAGTAGATTCACCAGCAGTTTTACCATCTCCAGATTTGCCCTTTTTAGGGAAGATAAAAAAGTTGATTACCTGGTTGGTGTGTAGTGGTGCCGAAGCGATTAAAAATCAGGTTTAAAGCGGAGTTCCACTCACTCTGTAAAAAAATAAAAGTCAGCAGCTACAAAAACTGGAGCTGCTGACTTTTAAAAAAGCTTCCACTTACCTGTCCCACGATCCTGCGTTGCCCCCCCCCGCAGCCCGTTTCCCCGGCTGTCCTGTATTCCAGGCACCAGCATCTTCAGTGTGGGCACCCGGCTGTGACAGCTTGCGGCTTCACAGCCGGGTGCCCACTGCGCATGCGCGAGAAGCACTGCGCTTCCTGAAAGGCCCTGCAGTCTTCTGGGACCTGTCGTGTCCCACAAGACTTCGGGGAGGGAGGGTAGGAGGCAGGGGCGGACTGACAACTCATGAGGCCCCCGAGCAATAGGGGATCATGGGGCCCCTGTGTCCTTGCCCACACCCAAAAAAGCTTATGAAAAAGACAATGAAAGGTACCAGGGGCATCTCAAGGGGCCCCCTACTGACCCCGGGCCATCGGGCAGTCCCCGAGTGCTCAAATGGTCAGTCCGCCCCTGGTAGGAGGACAACTTCCATTTCCAATCGCCTGGGCGATCGCAGCGGAAGTGGGAGCGGGTACCTGTCAAATTCAGGTACCCATTAGCCACCCCACTCACCCCCCCCAGCTCCCCAAAAGGTGCCAATCCTTAATGGGGAGTGGGGGACCAATCTTTAAAGCGCAACTTCCCCTTTTGGGTGGAACTCTGCTTTAATTGTTTATCCATGTAGGGTAGGTCACCTTCAGGATTGTTAAAAAAAAAAAAAATACCCTTCCATTGAGGCCCCCCCCCACCCCACGCTTCAAGGGTTAAAGCGGAGTTCCACTCACCCTGTCAAAAAATAAAAGTCAGCAGGTACAAAAACTGTATCTGCTGACTTTTAAAAAACAGCCACTGACCTGTCCCTCGGTCCTGTGGTATGTCCCCCGCAGCCCGTTTCACTGGTCGTCCTGGAGGCCGGCATCTTCAGTGTGGGCACCCGGCTGTGACATCTTGCAGCTTCACAGCTGGGTGCCCACTGCGCATGCGCGAGAAGTGCTGCGCTTCATGAATGGTCTTGTAGTCTTCTGGGACCTGTCACGTGTCCCAAAAGACTACAGGGAGGGAGGGAGGACATTTCAGTAACACCACCAGAAGTGGGAATGGGTACCTGTCAAATTCAAACCCCCCCCCCCGCTCCCCAAAAGTGCGGGGGAGCAGTCCTTAAAGCTGAACTTCCCCTTTTGGTTGAAGCTCTGCTTTAAATTCTGGTTAAGTCTAGGGGTAAAGCAGCAAGCCGAGTACTTACCTTATTCCTCGCTCTGGCATTCTTTCTATGCCTCCTATTCCCTGTGACACTCTGGGTTGTGGTGGGCCCTCGGCATCCTCATGTGCAGTGCAGGGCTATTGGTCCTGCATTGTACTTGATGATGTCTGCGTTTTTACTGCCAACTGAAAGGGCAAAGAAGAGGCTTCAGGGGACAAGCTGCGCACATGGAGGAAGCCTGTTTGAGCTAGGAATAAGGAAGGTATTACAACGTATTCCTCTCCCCCTAGTTTTTATAATAATCCTGTTTTTTAGGTTTTTTTTTTGGGGGGGGGGGTTCTGCTTGGAGTAGGGGTTTAGGGCCCTTGCACACGGGGCCATGCTTGGTGCTGTTTGTCATTCCTGACATTTTAGACTTGCGTTCCGGCATTCATTCCTGAATGTATGGGGACCTAAATGCAAGTACCACTTGGTATAGCGTTCAGCCCCATCCAGCTGCAGTCTGCCATAGACAGCGGGGCCTAACCCCTCCACACCTAGGGGTAAAACCGATCTTAATGCCTAAGTAAAGTGTTGCAACTTTGACATGCGTTCGTAAAACCGTACATATCCCCGCAACTACATCCAGGTGAATTATACCCGGTTTTTGTTTTTTTCAGGACAAATTGAGCTTTCATTTGGTGGTAAATGGTAATGGTTATCTCCTGATTTTTTTTTTTTTAATTATTAATCATTAACAAAGTAAACCGGCCCAAAATAGTACAATTTTTTTTTATTATTTGGTGGTAAATGGTAATGAATATCTCCTGAATTTTTTTTTTTTTTAATTTTTATTATTATTATTATCAAAGTAAACTGGCCCAAAATAGTACCATTATTTATTTATTTATTTTTAATTTTGCTGTCTCTTGTTACTTCGATAACCCACCACCAAAAACAACCCAAAATAAATTCTACAGCTGCTGACAATCGCAGCGATACCATATATGTGTTATATTATTTTGTTGCTGACACTGACACTCATTTTTAAAAATTGAAAAAAAAAATCCTGAGCTTGTGACCCGAACACTAACCCTGGCACTAACCTACATCAAACCTTGATATATAGTATGTATTTTTATATATACATATTTTTTTTTTTTTCAATATTTATTTTATTTTTTTTACACACAGTTTTTTTTTTTTTTTTTTTTTTGTTTGTTTTCTCTCTGCAAGTGAGAGAGAGATACAATGTATTTCTCTCCTCCATTTAGAGAGAGAGAACACATGGGGCCAGCTTCACAGTGATTGATGACTGTGATAGCCAATCAGAGGCTATCACAGCAATCAGGTGACCCGGAATCTGGAGTTCCAGGTCCCTATTGTTCGTACTGGACCCAGGGCTCTCAGGAACACCCTGGTGTTTGTGCTGGGAGCACGCTGTGCGACTTGACTTCTTTTAGCACAAAGACAGATACACGAATATGCGGCCACACGGAAAAAAGCCATATTCTGTGAGGCCGCATATTTGTGTGACATCGGCGCCAAGGGGTCTTTCATCTGGGGACCCTGATGTAAGAGGGGCCTGTGATGGGAACCCTGATGTAAGAGGGGCCTGTGATGGGAACCCTGATGTAAGAGGGGCCGTGATGGGGACCCTGATGTAAGAGGGGCCGGTGATGGGGACCCTGATGTAAGAGGGGCCGGTGGTGGGGACCCTGATGTAAGAGGGGCCTGTGGTGGGGACCCTGATGTAAGAGGGGCCTGTGGTGGGGACCCTGATGTAAGAGGGGCCTGTGGTGGGGACCCTGATGTAAGAGGGGCCTGTGGTGGGGACCCTGATGTAAGAGGGGCCTGTGATGGGCACCCTGATGTAAGAGGGGCCTGTGATGGGCACCCTGATGTAAGAGGGGCCTGTGATGGGCACCCTGATGTAAGAGGGGCCTGTGATGGGGACCCTGATGTAAGAGGGGCCTGTGATGGGGACCCTGATGTAAGAGGGGCCTGTGATGGGGACCCTGATGTAAAATATAGTGAATGCAGGGTCCGGGTTGACCAGATATAGTGAATGCAGGGTCCGGGTTGACCAGATATAGTGAATGCGGGGTCCGGGGAAGAGCGGATATAGTGAATTCAGGGTCCAGGGAGACCGGATATAGTGAATTCAGGGTCCAGGGAGACCGGATATAGTGAATGCGGGGTCCGGGGAGACCGGATATAGTGAATGCGGGGTCCGGGGAGACCAGATATAGTGAATGCGGGGTCCTGAGAGACCGGATATAGTGAATGCGGGGTCCGGGGAGACCGGATATAGTGAATGCGGGGTCCGGGGAGACCGGATATAGTGAATGCGGGGTCCGGGGAGACCGGATATAGTGAATGCGGGGTCCGGGGAGACCGGATATAGTGAATGCGGGGTCCGGGGATACCGGATATAGTGAATGCGGGGTTCGGGGATACCGGATATAGTGAATGCGGGGTTCGGGGATACCGGATATAGTGAATGCGAGGTTCGGGGAGACCGGATATAGTGAATGCGGGGTCCTGAGAGACCGGATATAGTGAATGCGGGGTCCGGGGAGACCGGATATAGTGAATGCGGGGTCCTGAGAGACCGGATATAGTGAATGCGGGGTTCGGGGAGACCGGATATAGTGAAAGCGGGGTTCGGGGAGACCGGATATAGTGAATGCGGGGTCCGGGGAGACCAGATATAGTGATGTTCTTCTACAACTTGTACAGATCCCCACACCAGATGACCGTCTTGCTAGGTGCTGCTAACCCCATACCCAGAACCAAAATGGCAGTTGTGGAAAAGATGGGGTTCTGCTGAGGGGACCCTAGGGGTTCCACTACAGGGCTGCCATTGCAGCTGAGTTGTACCTGCCCAGTGGTAGCTTAGGCATTCCCCCAGATTGCAGGTTCCTTCACTGTACTGCTGACATGGGTCATATCTGTTTTATTACCCCTCTTGTGTCCAGTATGACACCGCTTCTCCTATAATCTGCTAGGCCGATGCCTGCACACCCCCTTGTGTTGGGGTGTCGGTGGATGTAGTGTTCCGGTGGTGTGCGGTTCCATGTGCTCTATAGGTGATATTCTGCAGCTCGCCTGCAGCAGTCCTCGTGTGGGTGCAATCAGAATAGGACAGATTTATGCCATGCATGTCAGGC